GTTAATATGTAAAATTTTGTATAATTACATTTTAATTCAAATGTATCAAGTTGGTGTATCACACTTAATGAGATGACTAATAAATAGAATCCAATTTGATATATCTAAGATTACAAACATATAAATTCAATTAATTAGCAAGACAGCTGTTATAATACAGATTAATTTTTTAAATTTTTATTATTTATAAAATTTGAATACTAGATCTACTACTTGAAGATTAATAATTTGTTTATTTTTTTAAGTTGTTATACTTATAATACTAAATATTAAAGATAAGAATTAAATATAAAAAATAATTAAAGTATTTTATATTTAAATAAAATCAAAAAAATACTTTATAAATTATAATAATTTTAATATTTTGTATTATATAAAGATGTTAAATAAAAGATGTGATAATTTAGTGAAGTAGATAAGTTGTCAACTTTTCAAATAATAAGTTAAATATCAAATTTTATTAATAATAAAAATTTAGATAATCATCTATGTAATACTTATATTACAGCAACTGTTTTTAATAATTGGATTAAAATACTTGTAATAGTGATTATATTAGCATAACTAGCATTTATGTAACTGGTTATACAAATGAATACAAACTAGGATCAAGCAATACAAATTCTAGATAAGTTTTTGTAATCATGTAAATCTATTGAAATTAGAAAACAAGAAACAATTTAAGAAAACCTGAATAGAAAGGCAGTACAGATCTTTAATGATGTTATTGTAAAGACTAAACTAAGAAAATAGATACTAATGTTGAAGTATCTAAACAGACAAGAATTTTTGGGTTAGGAGTTCCAGATATACCACTAATTAGATCACAGAATGAACAAGAGAAAAAGAATATTGGACTAATTTAATATACTGATAAACTGGTTGTAGTTCTATTTGGATTATCTAGATTGAAAGTCTAAAAAATAAGTAAGAGTATACTAAAATACTAAAAATATGTTGTGAAGTAGATCTAGAGTTCAAGTAAACTTTACAAGAGTATAGTGATTAAATAATATAAATCTGATTGTAAGTATTAATTCTATCATAATGATATAGATCAAATGTAAAAATGAATACAGGAAACTTTAAAAGATTTACCTCAAGAATAAAATAATTATAAGGTTGAGATGATAAACTAAATATGACTCAATAATATTAAAATAGATGCAGGTTTAGAGGGTATAAAATGACATACCCAAGCAGAAGTGTTAGGTATGACAATTGGTAGAAAACCTTTAAATAAACTCCTTAAACAGGTAATATAGAAAAGTTATATATGTAACCAATTGTACAATCTTACTGTAATGATTTATAAAATTACATTATCAAAAAAAATTGTTAATAAAAATCAAAAGACCAAAGAGGCCACCTTAATACCAAAAAAAAAATTATTAAATAAATATAAAAATGTAAACTATAAACTATTAGTTAATATAAAAAACTTGTAACTTATTGTAAAACTGCACATCTCTAGTTTAAAAAAGGTAAAACATTATTTTTACAAAGAGTATTTGCTAATATTTTTAAATTTTTTAACTAAATTAATATAATGAAAAATTTGAATTAACTATTTAAACAAAAATAATAACAAATATAAAAAACAAATTATTTTTGCTTTATATATTAATACAAAGAATTATTTGTACCAAAAACTATATATAAAGAATATTTAATATTAATAGCGCAGTAGTTAGGATTTCTGAGCCACAGTCACAAGGTCACAAATTCGAGTTCCACTGGGTAACAAACAACTCTGCTGGGTCAGAATGTTCCTCTTTAAGAAAAAAACAAGATTCATACAAGTTGTAGTCCACCCATAGCCACAAGGTCAGGGCAATTAGACAAGGCGTATCTGTCAACAAATGATATTAACATTGAGAAATTCAACTTAAGGACTAATCAAGTAAAAGGACGATCTGACTGGTAGGTCATTTGAAATTAGGAAACTGCGAACCTAGAGAAAGTAAGTCCTACAGAGATGTCAAATGACTGACTTAACGAAACATGAACTATCTCATGAGTACTAGGGATGTTATTGGCTTTATTTGAAGCTAGCTTTAGCTACAATTTGAAGCTAAGCTAAAATCAAGTCAAGCCAATAGCCTAAAGCTATAGCTTAAGCCAAAATTAAAATTACTTAAGTTATAAAAAAATAATTATTAATTTTAGTTTTAATTGTAGCTAATAGCTTTAACCATGGGTTAGTTATAGTTTGGCCATGGTTTCTTTAAGCTAAGCTAAGCTATCCAAGCCAATAACATCTCTAACGAGTATGAAGATGAATTAGGGGTCATTGAAGCTTCGATAATTTCTGCACAAAATAATAGACTAATATATAGTCCCCATTCCCTGCTTTTGCTGTAGGTAGTGTTCCGAATCAGGTTGGGCTAATCTGAAACCTGACCTAAAATTTCAGGTTGGGTTGGGTTCGGGTTAGAAAATTTTGATCCAAAAGTTTTGGATTAGGTTCAGGTTAGGTTTGGGTTGAGAATTAACCCAAACTGAACCTGAACCAATCTGACCCAAAATTTTTTATTTGGTTTAGTATTTATTTTTTGCATTTGATAATATTAGAATATAAGGGAAAGTATTAATATATATTTAAACTAAATTGAATTTTGTATAAACTAAAAATAGTAATTATTTAATATATCTGCGCATCATATTAATTTATATCTGCGCATCATATTAATTTATATCTGCGCATCATATTAATCTGCATTATTATATAAATATTAATTTTGTTTTTACCATAATGTTAAAATTTTAAAGATATTTTACATATTAAATAAATTTTTTAATCAAATTAAATTACTACAAAATTATTGCAAGTATGTATTAAATTCTTATATTATTACTATGTATTTAAATTATTACTATATAAATTTTTTTAAAAAACAACTTTAATCAAAGATATAATAATAATAATCTGATCAAATTCATTGAATTTTTTTTTATTTGAATTCTATAAGTTTGTATAATTCTAATAAAAAAAAAATTATCGAATTTGGTTAGTTGGTTAGTAAGATAACTTTAATTAAAGTTAGAAAAAATTTATTATTTATATTTTTATAAATATATAGATTTTTTTAAAAACTTTGATCGAAAGTATCTTGACAACCATCTGATCAAATTCAATGAATTTTTTTTTATTTAAATTCTACAAGTCTGTATAATTCTAA